TTAAGCTGCATGGTGGATTTAGCCTTTGCTAGTACAAAACAAAAAAAGAGGTTTCTGGGCTACATGCTGCTTGGATAAAAGCATAGAGACCCACGATAGCTCCCAGAGCTGGCGGAAAACTACATTACCGCCGCGTGTTGGGAAGCTGAGGTGGGTGGAGCCAGCAGCCAGAGCTGCTGCAGCTTAAAGCAATAGATTCACAATAAGACAGATTCAGATGTAACAGTTTACAATGTGTGTAAAATATACGTAGGCTTGAAAGAGACAAAAAAAGGTGATATAAACAGTTATAGAAAATTACATAGTTTTAAAAAATAAAGTCTTTAAGAGACAGTAAAATTAATATAAAAAATAAGCCACGTAAAAATGGATATTACACAGAGAATCTGGATTGTGTTGTCTTTGGGACTTTTAACTGCAGAAAAACATTTGATTGTAAAAGCTGTTGAGTTATGCCAAAATGTATATTTTAAAGGTACCTTGACTTCAAAATTTGGATATAAGGATATGTTGCTTTGGAAAGGAGACTCTGCTTTTGTTCCCACAGAAAGCCAAAGGCTATGGATTTGTTTCAGATTAAGATACATCAGGTTTGACCAGCCAAGACCCCCTGAAAGGTCTCCGATGACACCATGGCCCAGATGATCCAACATCCAGAACTGTTTCAAGGCAACTGGCTCAGACGATACACCCTCATGGACTACTCCATAATCCTAAAATATTCTTTGTGTCCCCATAAGATACAGCAACCCCCTCCAGCAGGAAGTAGTAAGAGAAGCTACGCCCAAATTCCCAAATATACCAAGCTGACTTTGGAGATGTGTAAAGGTTAAAACCTTCCTTTTTAAGAAAAGAAAAGGGGAAGTGCTGTGGGATGGTCTGTATGTCAAATGTGTTGCTGATTGGTCAATAAATAAATCACTGATTGGCCCGTGGCCAGGCAGGAAGTATAGGCGGGACAAGGAGGAGAAAAAAGCTGGGAAGTGAAAGGCTGAGTGAGGGAGACACTGCCAGCCGCCACCATGACAAACAGCATGTAAAGATGCCGGTAAGCCACGAGCCATGTGGCAAGGTATAGATTAATGGAAATGGATTAATTTAAGCTGTAAGAACAGTTAGCAAGAAGCCTGCCACGGCCATACAGTTTGTAAGCAATATAAGACTCTGTGTTTACTTGCTCGGGTCTGAGTAGCTGTGGGACTGGCGGGTGTCAGAGATTTGTCCTGACTGTGGGCCAGGCAGGAAAACTCAAGCTACAATACAGGAATATAAAACTGGAAGCATTTGTCATTAAGACACATATAAGCAACAGAAAGTATTCTGTATCTGCTCCGAGTTTATCTGACAGCAGATCTGTCTATGGAAAACACGTCCTCCAGGTACGTAACTCTCAGGCAGGGCTGTCATTCATCTGAAAGGTGCGATAGAAAGGGCTGACAGGACAGACTACGCCAGTCAGGAGAAATGCTTATGAATGTTCATGATTTAGAATGGCCACACTGGGTGGCCATTATGCAAAGCAGAGAAGATGCTATCAACAAATGATTCAGAATGTTACAGACTTGTAACAGGCTTACCAATGATAGTAGAAACACAGATGTTACTAAAATTACATAAATACCAATATGAAGGAGTAACATGTGTCTTGAAGAAAGGTAACAGTGAGTTTGAGAAGCCCAAATTCATTGTTGATGGTATTTAATTATATCCTAGGACACTTCTTTAAATTTTCTTCTTCCTACTGTGCATTGTTGAAATGATGACACAAATCTTACAGAGGTAACCAGCTGTTCTAGACAGTTTTATGTCATCTTGACACAGGCTGAAGTCATCCGAAAGGAGGAACCTCAATTAAGAAAATGCTTCCAGGGTTGGAGAGTTGGCTCAGTGGTTAAGAGTACTTGATACTCTTGCAGAGGACTGAAGTTTGATTCTCAGTACCTACATGGCAGCTCACAAACTGTCTGTAACTCCAGTTCCAGGGGATCTGATGCCTGCTTCTGACATCCTTAGGCATATGGTACATACAGGTCCATGCAAGCAAACATACTCATAACAATCAAATAACAAAATAAATCTTAAAAGAAAAGACTTCTATAAAGTCTTGTAGCTCAAATTCTAATTGGTCTTAATAATAAAAACCTAGAGTCAGATATCAGGGTGAAAGCTGAAGGATCAGGGAAACAGAGCAGCCAGACACTAGAAAGACTTCTTACATCTCGGAATCCTCAGACTGAAAGAATCAAGCTCCTGTTTCCATCCTGCCTTATCACTTCCTTTCTCCACCTAGTCATATTACTTCCTGTTTCCTCCTCCCAAGTGCTGGAATTAAAGGTATGTGCCTCCCAAGTACTGGGATCAAAGGCATGAGATCCCAAGGGCTGGGATTAAAGGTGTGTGCCAACACTGCCTGGTCTCTAGTGATTAGCTCCACACTCTGATCTCCAGGCAAGCTTTATTTGTTGGAGCACACACAAAATATCATCACAATAGGGCTGCAGGCAAGCCTGTAGGGCATTTTGTTAATTAGTGATTGATGGAGTAGTGCCAGCCCATTGTGTGTGGTACTGTCCCTGGGATGCCTGTACTGGGTTCTATAAGAAAGTTGGCTGAGCAAGTCATGGGGAGCAAGTCAGTAAGCAGCACCCCTCCATGGCCTCTGTATCAGCTTCTGCCTCCAGGTTCCTGCCCTGCTTGAGTTCTTGCCCTCATTGCTTTGGATGACAAAACATTATACAGACCTGTATGTGAAATAAACCCTTTCCTCCCCACCATGCTCTTGGATGTGGCATTACATCACACCAATAGTAACCCCAACTTTGACAAAAATTGTATTCTGATTGGATTTGAGGCTTACTCCATAGAAGAAATCCATGCCTGGTGCTGCAAACCTTGCCAAGGATCCTAGTGCTTTCATTTTGTAAGCAGATGTTGTCAAGCTGCCTTCTAAACACACATATGTCCACCCTGTAGATAGATAACTGCCAACCCGGCTAAGAGAAGCTTCTTTCTGCAATGTGCAGAAATGAAGGCAGACACATGCAACTGGTCAGAGTGATAAGAACACGTGACTGTTGAGTGCTCAGCTCTAGATAGAACTTTACATCACCCCACCAACATTCATGGATGATGAGACAGAAAGAACCTAAGAGTGCTGGGAAGTGCTGTCTTCTGGACATGGTGTGGCTGTTACCATTCTGAACTTACAGCAGCTGTGGCTGTCTGTATAGGCCTGAACAAGATCAAGTCAATAATAAATTTACTGGAATCCGTGTTTACACAAAAAGAGGTGGGGAGGGGGAGTTATCAGGTAGGAAGGCAGAATACAGGGCACAGGAGGTGGGATCAGAGGGTGAATATGATGACCACGATACACTGTATACATTTATGAGCTTGTCAAAGAATAAATTAAAAATACTTAACAAAGAAAAATGTCTTCGTTTTAATTTACAGATTAAAATGATTACTGGTGAAGCAAGAACCATGGTTTGGCCAGTTCTATGCATGGCTACATCTCTCACTATCCACAACTGTTCAGGATAAGGTGCCACAACACTTGGCACAGAACAAGTTTGCTTATGATAGCACTAAGAATTTTGTTTTTTTAAGAGACAAAGGATCTCATGTAGCCTATGCTGGACTCAAACTAACCATGTAACGGATGATGAATGATGGCCTTAATCTTCTGATCTTCCTGTCTCCACCTCACAAGTGCTGGGAAGAAGCATTAATACTTGAAAATTTAAACAGTTTTGCTTATTTAAACACTCAAGAAGCAGAGGCAGGTGGATCTCTGTAAATTTTATGCTAGCCTGGTCTACATATGTAGTTCTGGGTCAGCCAGGGCTACACAGTGAGACCCTGTCTCAGGGGAAAAAAAAGTTTTGTTTAAATCTTATAAAATGTCTTTTCATTAAGTTGGGACTTTCGGGGGTTGGGGATTTAGCTCAGTGGTAGAGTGCTTGCCTAGCAAGTGCAAGGTCCTGGGTTCAGTCCTCAGCTCCGGAGCGGGGGGTGGGGGGGGGGGTGGGGGGGGGGTGGGGGGTGGGGGGGTGGGGGGGGTGGGGGGGAGAGTTAGACTTTCATTTATATGTCCTACTTATTATACATAGTTTTTTTTTTTTTTTTTTTTACGGTCATAGTTTAGAAGAACTGCAGAAAACAAATCTTTAGTTACAAGGTCAGGAAGTAACACACACATACAACATTTAAAAGTGCCCCCCCCCCCTTTTCCCTTTATTATGACTTAAATGGTCAGATTTCACCAGCTAGTTCCAAGATGCTGACCGTTCTGTTCTGGTCGGTTAGTTGGTAGGTGAGGCGGGAGAACTGATGACAGGAGGTTCCCTCTGCACTAGTCTCTGGTTACACTAGAGGGTTAAAAACTCATACTCAACAGTTATTGCTACAAATTTTGATATCCTTAAGCTATCTTAACTTGGAATAGTATTCAAAGAGGCAAAAATAATACTATTACCAAAATGTATTAATTTCTAGAAAAGAGGGGACTTATATAAATGTTAACAACAATTAATTTCTTTACCAGAGACCTTACTTAGCATACACATGTCTAGAAGACATACTATTCTTATCCATTTTCTCTTAGTTTCAATGAAATACTAATCAGTAAAGGTGTTTAATCACTTTGACTGTCAATTACATTTCTCTAGGGATACTGCACTCAACTGCCAGCCAGTCTTTTTTCTTTTTGGTTTTTCGAGACAGGGTTTCTCTATGTAGCTCTGGCTGTCCTGGAACTTGCTCTGTAGACCAGGCTGGGCTCCAAATCACAGAGCTCCACTTGCCTCTGCCTCCCAAGTGCTGGGATTGAAGGCCTGAGCCACCACCGACTAGCTTTTCAAACTCCAGTTTTACTTTATTAGTTCAAGGATGGGGTAGTCCTGGCTTATTGTCTTAAATACAAATGAGATAAAAGCATAAAAAAGTTTGCCTTTTATTTGTTACTATACAAAGCAGATGACCTTCCAGCATATCCTCACCTTCCTCTTGTGGTCTTCTGTACAGCCCTCATTCCCGCCATGCAGCAGGACCTCCCTTCTAACTGTATGTTCTTCCAGAGGGTGCCGTCCAAGTATACTTCACCGAACATCCCGCAGGCATCCTGCACTAAAAGGCAGGACCTGTAAAGAACAGTATATTTATTTTCTAAGTAAGAGGATCAAGAAGATCCCTGAAACTCCACTGCAGTCACCTTCCTAATGATGAATAAGGGCAAGTGAAGTTAGATTCAAGTACATTTCGTGTGTGTGTGTGTGTGTGTGCTCTCGCACATACATTATGGGCATTTGCATGCTACAGCATATGCATGAAGGTCAGAAGACAACTTGTGGGATGCAGCTCTCTCCTTCACCATTTTAGTCCTGAAGACTGAACTCAAATTGTCAGGCTTTGCAGCAGGTGCCTTTGCCTGCTGAAGCATCCTGCTGAACCTTGTTTTGATTTTGTACATGCAAGTATTTAGATTACTAGCCACAAAACACAGGAGACAAAATTATCTTTCAGCGTGCAACCTTTAGCCATTGTGGTTGAAAACTAATAAAGATGACTATACTCTCAAACTAAATGCATCACTGCTGCCTAGAAACCAAGGGTGCTCTTTCCCTGCTTCTATTCTCTCCCCAGAGTGGATGCTCAAAACCTAAAAGCTTCAGTGCACAATTCTGAGAACGATAGAGCTTTCACTGAGAAGGTACAAAAACTACAGACATGTACATTCCCAAAAGATAAAAATCACTGTCTTAGATAGGGTTTCTACTGTTGTGATAAAACACACCATGGCCAAACGCAACTTGGAGAGGAAAGGTTTTATTTCATCTTACACTTCCAGATCATACTGTACCATGGAAAGAAGTCAGGGCATGAATTCAAGACAGGAGCCTGGAGGTAGGAACTGAAGCAGAGGCCATTGAGGAACATTGTTTACTGGAATGCAGATTATTTAAATTTGCCAGTTAACAAGAATAATTTCAGTGGTAGCTCATATCTGTAATTCTAACACTCAGAAGGTTCAAAGCTAGGTTAGAAGTTAGAGGCCAGCCTGCACTACAGAGTGAGGTGTTGTTTAAAAAATTCCAGCACTTGGGAGGTAGGAGGATCAGGAGTTCTAGGTCAGCTTTAGCTACTTGAGACCTTGTCTCAAAAGGAAAAACAAAAAAGAAAACTCAAGAGAGTGAACATTATTTTTTAGTATTTATTTATTTTTATTTTACGTGCACTGGTGTTTGCCTGCATGTGTACCTATGTGAGTGTCAGGTCCCCTGGAACTGGAGTTACAGACAGCTGTGAGCTGCCATGTGGGTGCTGGGAAATGAACCCTCTGGAAGAGCAGGCAGTGCTCTTAACTGCTGAGCCATCTCTCCAGCCCCCTAAAGAGTCCATTATTAATAGTGGAAAACTCTTGAATACCAATCAAAATGTTTAATTGTCAGAATGATGTTTAATTTTATACTCTTAATAGCCTCAGAATATATAAAATGTAAACTATAAAAAGTCAGAGATATTAGCAAATCCACAATTATTTTAATATACCTCTTCCAATTACTGATAGGTCAAGAGAAGATAAAGCAACAATTTAAAAAACTTTTTATATGCCCAATAAGTCTGATTTGCTGGATGAACATCTGAAAACTATCCACAGCCAAAAAAAGTGCTTTATTAGGCATGAAGATTTAATTAAAAACTAGCTTTAAAATAAGACTCAATGAGTTTCAAATGAATTCATATAGGCAACAACCTGTCTCTGATATAATTCAATCAGAAACCAAGCAAATAATAAACATTTTAAAAATCTTCTTACATTTATACATTTTACTTATTTGAAAGGTAGTTATTATTATCATTATTGCTGTATGAGTGTGTGTGTGCAGCAGCAATCCTGCCATGGTCCAACTTTGTGAAGTCAGTTCTCTCTTCCACCTTTACATGGGTTGAACACAGGTTACTAGGCTTGTGTATACAAGTGTCTTTACCTACTGAGCAATCTTGTCAATGAGTGAGGGCCTTACTCTGCCCATGCTGGTCTCAAAAATCACTGTGTAGTCAGTGAAATCCAGATCCTCCTGCCTCCACTGCTCAAAGTCTGGAATTACAGGTACAGACTACCATGTCTAGCTTTGGCAATTATATTTGTTATTTACATATTATAATAATATATTTTGTTATATTATTTATTTATTTACATATATATATGTATATATATACCCATCTATTCCATAGAGTACATGCTGGATTGAATTAAAGATTCTCCTCTGTCTATTTCCCAAGACTTGGGATTACAGGTATGAGCCACAATGCCCAACTGCTTTTGGAAACTATAACATCCTTTTAAATCCATAAGTCAAACAGGAAATTATAATTAGAAAGAAAATAACATTATGATCTACTTGAAAAGAACAAATGTGAAAATCTATGAATGTTAGAGAAATAACAGTATTCCATAATAAAACCATATTTTTCTACTATATTTACTTACAGTTTGTTTGTTTATTTATTGTGGTAGTCGGAATTGAACCTAGGGCCTTGCACCTGCTAGCTCTTGCCACTGAGCTATATCTCTTGCCTTCTTATATTTTTTAAAATTAATTTTCTATATCCTTATCACAAATTCTTCATCAAACCTCTGTAGTCACCAGCTCTTCCTTAAGCTGGTGCACCCTACTAGTCCAGTCCTGAAGTAGCTCCCCTGGAGCCCTCTCTGATACCGTGTACATCTGTCAGTGACCGTACTCGGGACAGTGCCTCTGATACCGTGCACATCTGTCAGTGACTGTACTCGGGACAGTGGCAATCATCCTGTCACAAAATCTGGGGGTTCATTTTGCTGCTTTGCTACATGGGACTTATTTCCCACAGTATATACATTTCCTTCCTGTTTTTTCAATTTTATCTATTAGTGCATGTATGCACATGTACCACAGTGTGCATGGGGGATCAGAGGAAAACTTAGTGGAGTCATTTCTGCCTTCCACTTTTATGTAGGTTCTGGGGATTTAACTCAGCCATTAAGCTTGTTCAGCAAGGCCTTTACCGATGGAGCCACCTCACTGGTCCCATATGGTAGTATGTGTGTGTGTGTGTTTATGTGAAATTTTAAGCATTAGTATTCTATATGTGTGTGTGAGGCTGTCTTTCCCTCTTAAATACTTTCTGAACTCAGGAATGCTCATTTTGCAAATTCCTAGAAAGAAAGAAGTAGAAGGAGACATGTTGGAAATCATTCATGAAGTTGCTAATTCTCTGTGCTCTTAAACATTTTGGTCCATTGAGATGTCTATCTCAATTAGATCTAGTTTTTTGTTTAAAGTCCAATCATGCTTTCTCCGTCCCTTTCTTTCTGTTGTTTTCAGCACCCTGTGAGGGTACGAATGAGTGCATATACTTTTATCAGCCATTTACATGCCTCCTCTAAAGAGGTAAATCTAGGCAGAGCCATGGGGGTGGGGGTGGGGGTGGGGTGGAGGGAGGTCTGTGGCCAGGATGCATTTCCTGAGAGGGCCCTAGGCTTTCTTACAGGATGATTGTGAGGATTATGTCCTTAATTACGTCACTAGCCTGCAACAGTGTCCCAGCCTAAAAAGCGGGCAGGCCCTCTCTGTGTTCTCTTTTTCCGCACCCTCTCCCTCTCTCTCCCAATAAAGCTCTAGAAAGGTAACTATGGCTCGTGACTCTTCTGCCAGGGATACATCCAGCACTCTTCTCGGTTGGCATGGCCGCTATGGGCAGCGGCCAGCCACGAGCGCTGCTTAACCAACATGATAAGAGTCAAAGTGGTCCTCTGCAAATGATGGCACTAAGGCCTGGTAAATGTCACTGTTATAATTAAAAGTTAGGATAAAACTTTATGAACTCTATGAAACCCAATATAAAGTTCTCTTCTTTCTTGGCTGTATTAAGAAGGGAGAGGCGGGGAACTGACACTACTATTTCCTGGTTTGTTTGACTATTGCTTTCTCTCAAATAGCCAAGGGAGCTGGATGCTACTTTTGTTTGTTATTTTGCTCTAGGGCAAGTAGACCTGAATCATGTAAGAGCGCAGGCTGAGCAAGCCACTAAGTGTTGCTTCACGGCCTCTGCCTCCAGGTTCCTGCCTTGAGTTACTGCCCTGGGTTCATGCTGGCTGGATATGCTCTCTATGTTCTACACAGACAGCAGTGGCTAGTGATTTGCTGACTCATGCCTGAAGTAGGTTTCCACAAAACCAGTTAGCTCACAGCAGCATACAGTGAATTCCATCTACTTGTCAATGTTTCCTGCTTGGTGAAACACTATTTCCTAAAATCAGTGCTGGTGCAAGTCTCTGCAAAAAATCCACAATCCACTTGATTTTCTTAAGCCACTAGAAATACTGAATGGAACCCAAATGGCTTCCCAGCAAAGCAGCATCCTGTCAGAATTTAGAACCTTGCAAAAATTACTTATCTATATGAGCTTGAATTTATTCATTTTTATTAAACTTTTAAAATTTATTTTACAAACCAACCACAGTTCCCTCCCCCTCACCTCCTTTCTACCGCACCCCTCCCCCATCTACTCCTCAGAAAGGGTAAGGCCTCCTATGGGAGTCAACAAAGCATGGCATATCAAGTTGAGGCAGGACCAAGCTCCTCCCCACTGCATTAGGGGCTGAGCAAGGCATCCCACCATAGAAACAGATTCCAAAAAGTCAGCTAATGCACCAGGGACAGATCCTGCTCCTGTTGCTAGGGGCCCCACAAAGAGACCAAGCTACACAACTGTCACTCACATGCAAAGAGCCTAGGTTAGTCCCATGCAGGCCCCTAGCTGTCAGTATAGAGTCCATGAGCTCCCATGAGCTCAGGTCATTTGCCTCTGTGGGTTTCCCCTTCATGATCTTAACACACCTGGCTCCTACAATCTTTCCTCCCTCTCTTCAACAAGACTCCCAGATCTTGGCCCAGTGCTTGGCTATGGATCTCTCCATCTGCTTCCATCAGTTAGTTACTGGATGAAGGTTCTATGATGACAATTAGGGTGGTCACCAATCTGATTACAGGAGAGAGCCAGAGGCAAGTTCCCATACCCTCTCTACTATTGCTAGGAGTCTAAGCTGGGGTCATCCTTGTGGATTCCTGGGATTTTTCTTGGCACCAGGTTTCTCCCT